AGAGGGGGGGGGTGGTGAATTTTTCCTCGTCCCGGGATTAATTTGATTAAAAATATTTCATTAACTGAATTTAACTTTTATAGAGGGAGCATTTTTTGGTTTGTTTCATTGGGAGTGTAAATGAATAATAAATATAAAAACAAAAAGCTAAGTTAATGAATTTAATCTTTATCAGAGGTTGGTCACTTGTTACTTGTTGCTTCATTTTCCACTGGTTATCCCTAATAATGGATAACTGGTCGATAATATGCGAAGTAAGCAAAAGGCTAGAAATAACTGCCTTTAGAATAAACATCAACACTTTAAAAGAATTTTGCATTCTCCACGGGCCCGAAACCGTCACTAAACTAAATATTTACAAATAAATGTTGTGAACAACGGGTTAGTTTCGAATTTAAAACAATTAAGAATACATGTTTTATCCCTATTTATAAAGGTAAATGTGACTATGTTTGTGTGTTTGTTAATGGGTCGATTAATCACAAGAAAACTAAACAATGGATCGCAAGCAAATTGGACAAGGACACTCCTCCTGGCTTATATAAGGTTTCTGGAAAGTTGTTCATAATCCACTTATCCCAAAAGCTGTGCTTAAAAAAGCGTACAATGAATGGGGTAAAAGAGTAAATAAACCTTTTCACAAAATGGCTTGGAGGCATTGACGTCTTTAGAGGGGTGCGAGGTCTGGACCGCACCAAGTGACACCCTAACCTGGATACATCCAAAATAAAAATAGAACATTTGACAGAGTTCGATCGAGTTTCATAACAGAACTCAGTTAAATACCAGAACAGAATGCCACCAGAGCAGGTTGCCATCGGACAAGTGTGCCACCAGAGCAGGGTGCCATCAGACAAGTGTGCCACCAGAGCAGGGTGCCATCAGACAAGTGTGCCATCAGACAAGTGTGCCACTAGAGCAGGTTGCCATCAGATCAGTGTGCCACCAGAGCAAGGTGCCATCAGACAAGTATGTCAGCAGAGCAGGGTGCCACAAGACAAGTGTGTCACCAGAGCAGGGTGCCATCCGACAAGTGTGCCACCAGAGCAGGGTGCTATCAGACAAGTGTGCCACCAGAACAGGGTGTCACCAGAGCAGGGTGCCATCAGGCAAGTGTGCCACCAGAACAGGGTGCCATCAGACAAGTATGTCATCAGAACAGTCTACCACCAGAGAAAAGTTCCACCAGAGCAAGGTGCCACCAGAGCAGGGTGCCCTGAGACAAGTGTGCCACCAGAACAGGCTTTCAACAGAGGAGGGTGCCATAAAAATGGGTGCTACAGAAATAATGTGCCACAAGATTAGGTTCCCACCTTATAAAGTTGCCAGCAGATGTCACCAGATAGATCAGGGGGCCACCAGACAGCGCAGGGAGTCACCAGTCAGAGCAGGGAGTCACCAGACATACCAGAGGGTCACCTGATAGAGCAGGGGTCACCAGATGGAGCAGGGGTCACCAGAGTAGGTTTCAAACATAACAGGGGCCCTCCACAGAACACGGTGCCACCAGAACATGTGCTGCAAAGTACATATTGTCATTGTAGCAGGCTGCCACTGGAACAAGGTGTCCCCAGGCATATTAGGATGCCGCCAGAGTAGTTTTCAAACTATTGCAACCGTTATAAGGTTTTGCATAATCAATCTATTTTAATATTTGTTTCCTCAGATGAACAATCAGTAACAAACTACTGAAAACCACTATGCATAGAAAAACTATACCAAAACTAATGATTTATATACAAAGCTATGTAAAAAAATAGCCTAAAAAGATTATAATAAAGCAGATAAAAATCATTTTTAAATGATAAAGATGATGTATAATGCATACAATATGCTTCACTAATGCTTCGCGTATCTGCCCTTATCACCGTTTATGGATAGTATTCGGCAAGTTGGCAGGACGAAGTCTCCAAAAATTTTTCTTACCTAGTTAACGTTGATAGTGTAAAAGGAAAGGGGGGGGGGGGAAGGGGGAAGCTATATGAAGGGGACCGAAAACGGCCGCCCCCCCCCCTTTAAATGGAGCTCATCCACAGACCCCCCCAGGCCCCCCTCCCGGAAATAAATACGTAATAATTCCTATCAAAAAATTAAAGGCACAGAGTTCCCATGCGTTCCTGCATGATTTGAGTCTTGATTGTAAAAGCTGATAAACTGTTTTCCAAAAGAAAAGAAAAAAAAAAAAAACAAGAAAAAATACTATATTAACATCCCTGAAGATGGTTTCTCCGTTGTCTATTTGGTGTAGCCCAGTGGTTCCCCAGAAAGTTCGCCACGCTTTCATCACAGGTTTGCCGCTAAACATTAAACTTTCTTTCATATTTCAATTTTCACTTTCAATCCCATGTGCCAAGAGAGTGGACCTAGTGCAAACCAGTTAACTCCCTTGAGTACCAGATGAGAACCTGGAATAAATTCGGCCCGGGCAAACTCCCGAAATTGGATTGGGGGGAGGGGGTGGATATGGATGGGGGGATGGGGTGGGGGTGGATATGGATGGGTTTGTGGTACTAAGGGGGCGGATGTTTGAAAACCACTACTGTAAAGTTAAACGTCTCAATACAATATATATATATATATATATATATATATATATATATATTTATTATTATTGTTATTATTTTTTTTCAATGCTATATCTAAAATGCTATGTTTTCTTTTTGTGTCCTTTGTTCCAATAGGACAGGGCTCTCCAAACATTTTTCACGGCGAGCCGGATAACGGAAAAAAATGACGAGCGTGGCCCGGATAATCATGCTGTACAATACTGACTTGCAAGCCAGATCAAAAGATCGAAAAGACGAAAAACTAAGTTTATTGTTTCCCTGTTAATCGTGGGTGTGTGGCGTGCAATGCAAAAAAAAGCAAAGACAATCAACATATTTTTTTTTCTTTTTAAAGTTATCAAAGAAGGTGACGTCAACAAAGAGATAGCTACATCAGACGAAGTGTGGTAATATTCGAACATCACAAACTAAGCAGCAAAAACGTTAAGTGAGATTTATGAAACTGACGTTTGGCTTTCAAGATTTCATACATGTTTGGTTTCACATTGCTGCATTCAATCAAGAGAATTGTTTTCAAATGTTCATCAGTCACTCTTGTTCGATGTGTGTGTTGACTTCACATACTCATTTTTTACTTCACAGACATAAGTTATTCCAAACACTGATGTCACACCAACGAAAAAGCTCTTCAGTTTCAAAAACTCAACATCAGGTTAGCAGCGGTAGTATCCAACACGTTTTATCAAGCAAATTCAAGTACCGTCGGCGGGCCGGATGAACTGGCCTCGCTTGCCGGATCCGGCTCGCGGGCCGTAGTTTGGAGACCCTTGCTGTGGGAGTTTGTTATGTAGCACACAATCCTCGTGCGTGAACTTTGCTTTGACCTAAATTAGATCCCTAGCAGACGGTATCGTTTGTTGTGGGCGTGGTTTAAATTCTCTTTGACGTATCTTGTTTACAACTGACGGCCAATTACACATTCGTTAGAATGCCTACTAGAGTCGTATCGAAGGTTCTCGATTTGTTTTGGAAAAGTAAAGGCGTTTCTAGGCGCGTCGGTAGACCCACATATAGAAAGGATTGACAGGCACCGAGGGTCGGAGATTGAGAGAGATTCAGATAGATTGATATATATTTTTAACTTTACGAGACGTGTATTATTCTTTGTGTGCTTATATGTGTTTATTCGCATTCTTCATTCATTGGCACATTGTACTAATTGTGTACCGGTACAAGTTCTACCATACCCTGTAAGTTGATGATTTGTAATTATATTTCTTTTGTTTATAATTATTACTGAATTAAATCTTATTAATTGTAATTGGTACTGTTTTGGGGAGTCATACTTGTGTAATTGTATTTCTCTATGGTATCGTCCTTTGTTAGGCACTGTTTGAAAGAGCCATAAATTTAAAATAGGAGATTAATTTCTCACAATAGAAGGTCAATACGTAACAGAGTTGTACAATTGTTAGAGCCTGCATGTTGACCTAATTGTTGCGTAACGTAGAGTTGCAGCGTCCATCCCTTATCTCTCCACTTTTTGATATTGACGTCACCGATTAAATTGCTGGCACTGTAGCCAGTACCCACCCCTCGCTGAATTGTGAAAATGTTGTTTACGCTCTAAAGAATTTTATCAGTAGTTTTTTTTTTTTTTACCCTTTTTGCAGGTTTTTTCCAAGCCTTATTTCCTTCTCCCTAACCTGATTTCACCCTCCTACATTATAAAATACATCACACTTTCGAACACACATTTAAAAAAAAATAATAAAAGCTCATTAAAATTCAAATTAAATTACACTTCACTATTACACTTAGACACTGTTAAGTGACATCTTCTGTCAGAATAAATGCACCACATCATAATGTTAAATTGCTGTCAATTTCAGCTTTCAAACGTATGATTTAAAAAAAAAAGATTAAATATTATTAAGGAAATCATATTATATGATTTTTACCCATACCCTGTCACAAACTGTCATTCTTTCAGGGACCCTGCCCCCCCTCCCCACCCTCCGGAGAATGACGTACTTTATGGCCAAAACAGGAGCAGCCACCCCCAACCCCCTTTTTTTTTTACTACCCACTGCTGGGCCGCCATACCGTGGTGAAAATGTTCAAAAGGCCAGGCGTAGGCACAGGACTAGACTACAATCAGTCAATGACGCCTGTCTTGACTGTCGAAAATATATTCCTCAATTCAGTATCAGTTATTTAATAAATAAACCCTTAAGTTAAGGCTTAACATTAGACTATGTCTATGGGTTTATAAAGTACAAATTACATAAATATGAATTTTGTTGTAGGGATTATCTTATAATGGCATTGTTAACCTGCTTAATGATCGAATCATTTACTATTTTATTTTTATCTTTACATGAAATGACATATACGCCCTTTGACTAGTTTGACAGTCAAGGTGGGTCGTGACCTCTTATTCTAGCTCGTCAGGGTCATGTGACCGAAATCGGGTCATTACAACATGGAGAAAAAAAACATGGCAACTCTTCGATGTTTCCACTAAATCTCAAGCGTCTGGAATCTAAGCATTAATTGTTTATTACCTGAGGTATTAAAAATTATTATTATTTTTGTCACATTTTTGTGAATTAAGGTTATACGTTAGATTTAGTTTCTCATTATAAATTCTTAGTTATTGAATCGTACTACAGACTGCAGTAGTTAATATTAGAAGGTTTAGATGCGAAACTGTCTGTTACCACTGTCAGTCAGTATGGTGAATGTGACAAGTAGGCCAATAGTCTATTATAGTCTATAGCCATAGTTTATAGTGTGTATGTATTTTAATACTATTAAAAAATAGGTCTACTAAATAACAAATAGTTAAAGTTAGACTGAAATCACTGAAATCACCCACCATAAGATCACTGTAATTACCACATAGTCATATAATTAAAATTCAATAATGAAATAATGACAATTTTAGTTTTAGTTTTACTTTTTTAAAAATTGACAATAGTAATAGTCAATACTTATTAATAGTCTATACTAAGAATAGTTAGAAAGAGACAAATAAAATAATAATGAGGCCTACTTTTAGTAGTATTTTATATTAGTAGTGTCAATACTGACAATCGATCCCCTTGTCATTGTCTTACTAATACTGATAAGTACTAAGACTCTCCCTCTTCTTACTCTTACTCTTAGTAGAATTCAGACACTTCAGTGATGAGTAGGCTATTATATTTTATAATTAATTTATATTACATCTTTTTAGGTCTTCTCAATAATTATGAAAGTGAAAGAATAGGCTAGACCAAATAACTTATTGAAAAACTATAGTCTATAGTACATATATATTAACTATATCTTGTATATATATATTAGGCTAATGATCATTCGAGATGCCACGACTTATTTTCCAGGGAGTGTCTTCCCTTTGTTTATTTTTACTAAATTATTTTAGGGATCGATTTAGGGTTCAGGTTAGGCACGGTTAGGCATATGGATCGATTTAGGGTTCAGGTTAGGCAGAGGTATCGATTTAGGGTTTCAGGTTAGGCATAGGGATCGATTTAGGGTTCAGGTTAGGCATAGGGATAATGACTACACGTGATATGTCAACCAAGATGGCGGCCACTGATAAAATAGTGGCATTTTCAGTGACCATTTACCGTTTCAGAGTAGCCAGCTTAGGCTAAGTTTAGGCTTCTAAAATGAATAAATATTGAAGAATTAGGTTATTTGGTTGTTTTATATAGCACAGTACCTCAGCCTAGGGCTAGGCTCACTGGGCTTCACATAAAAAATTAGCAATTACAGAAAGGTATACATTTAAAAACAACAATTGGTGAAAAACTTGACCTCACCCACCCAAGTACTATTTATCCCTGTTCTAGCCATGGACAGCACCAAGCAGCATCGAGCCTTGTTTATCAGTTAGAGGGGGGTGAGAATGAGTCGGTATAGAACAGTTTGAAGAGATGGGTATTGAGGGCAGTTTTGAAGGCTGTGATGGTCGTTATATTGCGGATGTGTAATGGGAGAGAATCCATTGTTTTGAGGCACAGAAAGAGAAAGATCATTCACAATATGTTTTAGTGCGTGTTCTGGGAACAAAAAGAATATCCGTGTCTTCGGAGTTACAAAGCTTTTGAAGGGGTGAATAGACAGAAAGAAGTTCAGTAAGGAAAGGGAGGAACCAGAGAAAAAGTTGTGACAGAGAACAGACAGCTTGTAATCAATGCATGCCTATTTAGGGAGCCAATGAAGTGAGTGAAGTAGTGGAGTGACTTGAGCATGTTTCTTTGCATTTAGAACTAACCCAGCAGCTGAGTTTTGAACTTTCTGCAGTTTTTCTATGAAATATTTCGGTAAACCTGACAGAGGAGAGTTACAATAGTCAAGACAAGAGAGAACATGAGCACAGACTAGTGTTTTTGTTGTGCTAACATGATAGTGCCTAGCCCTAGTGATAGTCTAGGCCTATGCCTATTTAATTAAATTAGTATCTATCTATTTAGAGCCCCTTTTATGTTATAATTAATAATTAATGTATACTATAATTTATAGCCTGTCACATTCTCATTCATAAGAGAAAGTATAATTCTTTATAAGTATGTCTAATAACAGTAATTAATATGGTATAGACCAGAGCTGTCATGTGGGCCCTGCAAACCCTGCTGCTTCAGGGGGCCTCAGTTATTTAAGGGGCCCAAAGTTTTGATGTTGAAAAAAAAATTGAATCCATATTGCACAACTTAAAAGTTGCATAGAGCCTCAAAATGTCACAGAATCTGAATGACTCTGTTATTGACTACTTAGCATATTGCTCAACTTAATGTTGCATAAGATAGCCATAGTCATAGATGGGCTTAATTAAGCCTTAAAGCAAATAAAGTTGTAGGAATGTTGGCTATGTCTTTTTGTTATATGTATTATCATAAAAGGTCCTAAAATATATTGGACAATAAAGGAATTCAATAATTTTTTTTTAGCGAATCATTAACTTACTACTCAAATATACATTTAAAAATTAATTTAAGTCCAGGTCAATGTACCAGTCCCAAAAGCTGTTCTGATGATAAGACATAGCTGTGTCATTTAATAAAATAAATGTTATCATACTGTTATGAATAAAAAATATGTTGAGTTACTAAAAAATGGTTATATGAATAAAAAATATGTTGAGTTACTTAAATATGTTTATATTCCACAGTTGACTTGAAGTGCACCATAGATTTTCTACAAGTATAATCAATATATACATTGGAGAAAGTCTATCTCAAGTATATGGTAATCAATTCAAAACACAAAAATCTTATGTGAAGTAAGTAAGCATAACTTGTGATAAGCTAAACTACAGATTAAAAAAACCTAATTAATGTATATTATATTATATAGATGCCTTGAAGTTAATTTGAGATATTTTTTTTATCATTGACCTTTACGTTGAGTTTATAAAAACTGATGTTACATTCAGTTTGAAGAAAGATATTAAAATTAAGATAACCAGTACATTGCCATTACTGCTCAAGTTGATTACTATTTATTTTTCTCATCAGTCATTATCACCTAATCATAGGCATGGATTAAAGTTACTCATCTTGAATTTTTATTTTTAGGTGTGAATAATTCTTTATATTTTTGCTTTAAAATATATTTATTTGCACCAACATTTCAGGTTTTAAAAATAGAAGAGCAGCAATATATGGATAATTTAAAATAAAGCAGTTGTTTTCACAATGGGAAGAAAAAGAAAACAGGTTGATCCTGAAAATGGTCACAAATCCAACTTGCCTCCATGTCGTGTTTGTGATGCCCCAGGTGCAGGTTTCCACTATGGTGCCAATACCTGTGAGGCATGTAAGGTAAGCTACTCATCGACACATAATGTGTTAGGATGATTCATGGGAAATTGTGCCTGGTTTGTCTCAGAATATGTTTTTGTGGTATTGCTAGCATAATTTAATACGTTTCCCCAGGCTCGTGACACAACATGCTAGCAGTAAATGTAGATAATAACAAATTACATATTGCTTTATACAGTAACATTTAATGAATTGATCATTACTTTATTTATTCAAATTAAAACATAATATCCCTCCAGCCATTGGATTTGAATTTATTTTATTTGAACAGCACACTCATGTAACATAACTGTAGAAATATGAATCATTAAGGGTCTTTTGTTACTTAAGAAAAATTATATTGATGAGAAAGTTAATTGAATATAAAAATCTCATTGCTCTGCAGGGTTTCTTCCACAGGAGCTTGAAGCTCCATGAGCAGTACCGCTGTGAGGGAGAAGAGAGGTGTGCCATTGAGCACGGCAAAGACAAGCTGTGTCAGAAGTGCCGCTACCAAAAGTGTCTTGCCGTAGGCATGGGAAAAGAAGGTGGGAGCAAAGTATTTATAGAAATCATTTGCTAATTTTATGAAATAAAGAAAAAATCTGATTATAAGAATGCCAGCCTCCCATGAATAAATTAAGTCTAGAATTGAGAGGAGTTACAAAGTCAGATCTGTTAAGATGTTGACAGAAGCTGCAACAAAAAACTGTGTAATTCCTTAGCAGACTCATACTGAATCTATCCTTAACAATGGTTTTTACAATTCTGGTTCATCACTCATATTTCTTCTTCTTCTTCTATATCTTAAGGGCCCACGATCAATTTATTGATCATTTTGGCTCCTATGCATGTAGATGGGATTTGCAATGTTTCTGTTACTGGTGGTGATGAGGAAATTATGCACTAGGGGTTTGAAGGCTTGAGGCAATAGACACAAATGCGTCTAGTGTTGTCGCCTCAACTGTTCCTTTTGAAAGATGGTTCCAGTCCCTGATTGTCTTGGGCAGGAATGAGCAGCTCCTATACTGGCTTCTTGCTGGTATGAGCCTGAATTGCCTGTCATGGCCTCGTCGCTGTCTATGGGGGAGAGGGACGAGTTTCTGTTTAATACTGGAACAGTGGACCAGCCCATTATTTATCTTGTACATCATGGAGAGCCTGGATTGTCGTCGTCGTTTCTCCAATGGTGACCAGCCTAGTGTTTCTAGCATGCTGCCAACACTAGAGGTATTCCTGTAGCGGTTTAGGACAAAACGTGCTGCTCGTCGCTGGACCGCCTCCAACCTGTCAATGCTCTTCTGGGTAAATGGGTCCCAGACTGAAGATGCATAATCTAAAATCGGACGGATAAAGGCTTTGTATGCTCTTTCTTTCACACAGGAGTTGCCAATCTTCAGGTTACGCTTTAAGAACCCCAGGGTCTTGTTTGCTTGGTTACATACATTGTTTATATGCTCTTTCTTTCACACAGGAGTTGCCAATCTTTAGATTTCACCTTAAGAACCCATAACATGAGCTTAATTATCTTTTGTGTTTCTTACTGAGTTTAAAAAAAATTAAACTAATAAACATCACTTTTTGTTCTTTAATGTGAAATTGTGATCTCAACTTTAATGTTTAATAAATCAAATTAGCTTGTATTTTCATTGAAGTTTTTTTTAAAAACGTTATTTTCAGCGATAAAAACTGGGAGGTACACATCTGTGAAAAGGACCAATGACATTCTTGAAGTGAAAAAATTACAAGAAACTGGGAAGGTCAAACCCTTAGGATCCAGCTCTAGCCAGATATTACAACTACTGAAAAGTCCTGGCATGGACACTGATTCAGGCAGCCAAAACTCCAATGATAGCCAAGCAGGCCATAACACTTTATCCTTTGAAAAGGCAATTTATCAGTCATCTGTCATAAATGAATGTGTTAACGGGCAGGATTTAAGTGCGGCCCAGCAATTGACTTCTTCCTATATTTATACTGACCAGGCAGAAACAAACTCCATAGGGTCTCCATCCATAATGTCAATATTGGCTGGTTCTCCAATGTCTCAGGCATCTTCTCATGGGACGCTTCCTGCAGAAAAATCCCCAATGTCTTTCACAGAATCCACACTATCATCAACTTTATCACCACTGGCTGTCTTGTCGGCCACAGCAACAGCTGTGCTGACCTCGAGTAACGCCAGCCAGCCACTTTTTTCTACTAAAACGGACACAGAAGCCATGTCAAGATTATTCTGTGACAGAAAAAGTGTTATTTCTCCTTGCCCATCCACATTGGACTACTTTAACTCTACATCATTACCTTTGTCTTCAAGCTGCAATTTCTCTACGCCGTCACTGTCAGTGGGTCCCAGGAGCGACACATCACAACCCCCTGTGGGCTCTGACAGTGCCACATCACCAAAGTCCCTGGCAGCCACACACTGTACCACGTCACCAATGTCAGTGGGACTAAACTGTTCAGCATCGCCTTCCTCATCATGTCATAATGGGCCACCATCCAATTCATCGTCATCTTCCTCATCCACCACTTACCTCAGTTCCCAGCTGGCCAACTCGGACTTGCTGGGCACCTTTTGTGATTCGTGTGGCTGTAATTTAGAGGACAAAGACATCTCATTATTATACCAGGATAAAGATAAGGTGGTCCGCATGCTTGTAGAAGCCCATGAATATTTTGTGATTCCTGTGTTTGGCCGGTTATCGCCAGACGAGCAGCTACGACAGCAGGTGGAGCATGTGGTGAGTAGATTGAAATAATTTGAGAAAAGTCATATTCATTGTGTCATAACTGATTGCCTCTGCATTGGAATTTAAGCTATGCTTTAAGTTATTTTGATTTATGAAGGTATTGACATTCTAAACTAATGTTACCATGCAATGCTTAGTTCATATAAAATTCCCTATAACTGCACCATGCAGTGCGTATATTTATGTTCAATAGTCGGGAACATTCTCATTCCTGCACTTAATGGATTTTAAAAAAAAATTATAGTAATTTTTGCTTTATTTTTTGTTTAATCAATCTCAATGTGATCAAATAAATATGCTTATGCTTATATGTAATCTTTAATAATATATAAGTATTTTTATTCTAAATTAGAAATACATTTATATAATAGTAAGAGAATTTACAGGTGTTTTGGATCATTAACAAAGCTGAAATGCCTTTTAAAAGGAGATTGACACAATACTTTCATCAGTGTATAGCTGTTATTTATTTTAAAATTATATTATATTAAGTATTAACCTCAATGTAAGATTGTATATATTGCTTTAGGAAGCACTTCCATAATGACAGAATAAAATTAAAATTGCTTTTATTTACGTTTATTTAAAGACTTAATAAATATGTGGGTGTGGGGAAGATGGGATGTGTTTTTAATATACACTACACAGATGGTGGGTGTGTTTGAGAGTATATCATTATCTCAAAGTTCAAATACGTTTCAGAACAGAAATTTGTATTATAACTATAATTAAATAAAAATGTCCTCATTATTATACTCTTCAATAAGCACTTTCAAAATGACCGGGAAAACATGCCAACTAATTTTATTAAAGTTGATTAAAAACATAATAAATATTTGGCTTTGGAGGAAGGGGGGGCCACAGAATCCCTGGGTGCATTTGATAAGTATAGCAATATCTCAATAGGTTACCAGCCGAAATTGGTATATAGATATTTTAAAAGTAATGAAATAATCTATTTGATTCTCTATCATTAACACATTTCAGTGCAAGGAAAGAGAATGTGTACATCTTTATGTGAATACAATATATTTAAATTTGGTGATATTAAAGTCTTGAAGAAATGGTTTTAGATTTTCTTTCAAAATAAATAAATATATGTTACAGTAATATCGGCAAAGGCAATTCAAGGGCTTTGACACATTGTGGACACATTTTGGACACATTTGCATAATTATACACATTGCTCAAAACTTAATGAAGTTATAAAGGGGAACATAATGGATCATATTTTTTTTTAAACTAAGGACATTGCAAGTTTTCCAAATATACAGTTCAGAAGTGAGGATAATGTTTGTACACATATTTATGAAAATAACAATATGTTTTTATTACAAATTTATTGTACAAGTTTAGTGAAAATGGGTTGAAAATGTGAAAGAACAAAGTAGGGACATTGTTATTTCAATAACAGATCTTAAAACTCAATCATTTTACAGACATGATTTTTTATTATTTAAAAATAGATAAATAATTGTTTAATTTCCCTAAAATACAGTTTAGAGGTGTGAACAAATAATGGGAAAGATTATCTTTAAACAATAAGGAAAAATCAGACTATTATAATTTTTAACAAAATAAATTCAAAGGCCATGGGACATTTTTATAAGATTAGAAATAGTTCTTAAAAAACAAGACTGTTGCAGAAGGGGTAATTTTTTCAGAGAAATTTTTATAAAGAAGAATTTTGTTAATTTACTAACAATTTTTGGTTAATATAGTTCAGGAGCGAGGTAGAGGCTACGTACAATTTTAATCAAGATAACAATATATCGAAATCTGTTAATTTTAAAAATAAAGATTTTAACAAATTTAATGACATGGATTTACAATTTTTAGAAAATGTGTTTTCCTTATAGTTCTGGGGGCATGAAAAGGGGTTGGTTTGGCCTATGTTATATAGAAGAAAAAAATTATCAAAACCCAATGACGTTAGAAACATAAATATCTTTACATAGATACTTCTTTACAAATCACAGAGGTTTGATTTACAACTTCCTTTGTATACAAGTTGAGGGCATTGAAAATTGTGGTAATTTTTAAATGGTTCAATACATTAAAATCCGATTCTGTAACACATGTAAAAGTTGTATTTTTAGATGTTGAGACTTCGCAATAGCAGGTGGAAAGTAACGCAATTTGTCCTTCATTATAATCCCTGTGACATGGGTCGTATCTTCTTTTGTCATGAAATTCATGATATCGGCATATTATAAGTATCCATACATAGGAGGGAAAATTTAGTTTTACATAGATTTGAAAATTATTTGAAAAGATAGTTCTAAATGAATTTTGTCTCCAGGGGGATTTTGATTGGGTATGCTTTGAAATTCTCATAGATATGGAGAATTAATTTTTTTTATTAAGTTGTTCGGGGGGGGGGGGGGGGGGTTTAAAAAAAAAAAAAGTTAACTCAAGTTTCTGGACATAAATGAAGAGTTAAAAAGAAATATTCAAGGTGCTAAAAAGTATTTGTCAACATGTTGCACAAATTTTGCAGGAGAATTGCAGACTTCATCAAGAAATTTTTGGGAAACTCCCCAAACTTCCAGACCATGAGTATGACTTAATATATGAGACAACAGGGCTGGACACAGATGGCCGGCAGCAGAGGTTCTACAGGGTTAGCATTTGGCTGGAAAACCAGATCAGAGGCATGGTCAAGTTTGCCAAGGCCATACCTGGCTTTGGGAAGGTGGCCACAGCAGACAAGGTCAACCTTGTTAAATGTGAGTTCAGTTCAGGGTTAGGTCATTTAAATGAGAAGCAGAGTAGAAAGGGCTCTTAACCTATTTTAACGCCTTGCCATTTTTTAATTTTCAAAATTAGGTTTTGGGCATTTTTTTTTAACTTAGCATATATAATGTATGCCACTGCATTTTTTTTTACTTCAGATTTAAATTTAAAAAATATTTGATTCCTATGTAACGGAAATATTAAAAAGAAGCCAATAAAAAGGATAATTTTTTTCTAGGGACTAAGAATTTTTAAAAATTTCTTAATATTGTAAACATAATGAATTTTACTTACTGTGGTGTCGTCAAAAAGGATTAAAAATTGCATTACACAGAAGTGATGTTTGAACTTTGTTTTGCTTCTAGGGGATAAAGTGGTTTTAAAAACAGCCCACTTCAGTCCATGCCTGCCAGTCTACGCAATGAAAACTTATTAATCAGGAACATGTGGCTTTAAATTAAACATTTCCTTGTCATTATTTCTTCTCACTGGTTGGTCAAATTATAAATCCAATAAAAAATTTTTTTATTAAGCATCAATTTTTTTGTACACGGGGTTTTCTCCATATTTGTTTCTGATTCACCAATGCTTTCAATAAAACTTTTTTTTGTGTACTTGTTGTAAGACTGTTTGACTTTGACTGCAACATTTTCATGACCCTATTTATAATGGAAGTATTGGTAACTGTTGTTCATTGTTCATTGACTGTATATTATCCTGGCAGATTCCCGTCAAGAGTTCTGTCTGTTCAGCTTGTACACGACACTCAACAGTGAGCTCAAGGTGATGAGGGGGGTGGACAACGAGTGGAAGTGTGAGAACGAACTCATCAAAGCTGGGAATGTGGAAGTGTTTCGGGACTTCATTGAGAAACAGTTCAAGTTCTGCAAATCTCTACAAAAACTGAATCTGACAGAGGAGGAGCAGATTGTTATCAAGGCCATTTTGGTCATGGCACCAGGTATGTACCAAGTTATTTTGTTAAAAAACACAAAGTATATAAGAATGTTTGCACCAAGGGAATGTGACAAGGGCAGATTTCCTTAATGCCAGACAAGGTTTTTGGTGACAAAACTTACAATTTGCTTTATGTCAAGTAAACAAACATTTGGATTGAATGTTAAAGTTTTCTATCAAAATAATTGTAAGTATTATTACTTTTATAAAGAAGTACTCTTTTTTTAAAAAAAGTTTCTGCATCAAGAGTGTAGATGTAGCAACAAGACATGAAAGTCTGTCATGGGATAGTCTGTTCTAACATTGGCCTGTACACCATGATCTAATAAAGGTTTTTCTTCTGTACAGTGTTAAGCCATAAAAAGAACAACCCACGCAAAGAAAACATAAATGATCGGCTGCTAATAACCATAATCCTAACCTTATAATCATTATACTACCTCTGATGGCATAATCATAAATAAACAAAATGTTCCTTTACATATAATAGATCATCAGTTTATAATTTAATTTATTTTCCCCTTTCAGACCGTTCCATGCCTGTAGAGTCTGAGCTGGCCCATGACATCCACTGGCACCTGGTGGAGTGCTTGATACACATCCTGGCCAGGAACTACCCCAACCCAAACTTCAAGCTTGCTCAGATCATGAGCAGGATCACAGAGGCCCGCACACAGACAGAGAATGCCATCAGCTTCATCAAGAACCTCAAAATAGAGAAGTATTCCAAAATGCTGGACAACCCACTCCTAAGGGAGGTGATGGCTGGGATTATATTTGACTTCAAGGAGGATGAAGGTGGTGCGGAGTGATCTTCACCCCCACCCACCCACCCATCATTCCTTCTTTTTGCTTCGCTGGATTCTTGGCATGTTAAAGGCAGCATTTCATTTACAACTGTCACAGTATCACCACTTACTCTGAATTGTCACTGGTGTACCTTTGACACAGAACTGTCAATTGTTTCACCACTGACACATGGAGCCTCACACTGAACTGAAACAGTTGAAGTTTCACCAGATTTTTCTCATGAACCCCAGACTTTTCACAAGTGGACAGGCTTCTGGCACAGATCTTCATTTCTGTGTTGGGTAATGTGATCAGTTCTCACAGTTGGATGTGCTGCTGTTGGGTTCTGTGGTCAGATTGCTCTATAGATTTATTGAATATTTGTTCTGTACCTTTTTATTCTAAGATAAAATATCTGGCCTCCACCTACATATAAGTAAGTGTATAATTTAAGTTTTATTGTAAACTGTAGTCAACTCTTATTATCGTGTGTCATCATTGCAGATTTTTATTATAAGAACACTTGCAGATCCAGTTTATTTTAGTGGTGCTATGAAAAGGACAGTCTGGAAATGCCTGGAACGCATCATTTTTGAAATTTTAAACCCATTAATAAAACGATACAGTGAAATGTCAATGAAATTAGTTCAGATTTGATTCAGACCTTGAAAGTTTTTAAAATAATTATTTATTTACATAAGTAAAGCAGAAAATTTATTACACATTCTTTATTTCAAAATTTTTTTTTTCAAATTAACATGTATTCTTTAAAATGAATGAAATGATGCATATTTACAAGGATGTGAGAGATTTATTTATAAGGTAAAAAAAACATATTTTTTTAAATCTTGACTTTTGCATTGTAAAACAAAACTATAAAATAAATCTTGAATTTGTGCAGTGCAAAATAAGTGCATACTTGAGAGATTTGGCAGTGAAGGTCTAAAGGGATTTTTGGGAGGAAGGGTAGGGGGGGGGGGGGGGGGGGGGGGGGGGGGAGGGGAATCATGTTTCACGAACTGTAATTCTAGTTGAATAAGATAAGTCTTGTCTTTAGAATCAAGGGCTCCCTCTAACTTCTTCTTCAACATGAACAAATCAGTCATCCATTTCACCAGTTCTGAATATTGCACTGCAGCTAATGTATAGGACACATGCTATTATATTGTTAATGCTTGCTGAACTACTTAAAACTCCACAGGTGATTTATGCTTTAGTATCGTGTTTCTGCGTTACAGCAGAAGTTATGTAATTGTATTTTAATTTGTCAAATGGTTTTGAAAACCCAAATATTGTTTTTGTCACCTGGGGTAAATAAGCATCAAACAATGTTTTGTGTGTGAAAAATAAAAGACACATTTAAAGCTGAAACTGTTTTTGCATGTCACAACACATTTCAGTAAAACGATTGAGACAAACCTAAGAAACATACATTCATTTCATTAATTTAACAAAATATACTGTAATATATTAATTTGCTTGTGCTTCATAACAATTGATGTTCAGACACATTTAACCATCTTTGAAATGCTGTGCATAAGATGTTGGCCAGTGCCAGAACCCCCTCAACCTAATCTCACTGGCTCAAGACTCCACACACCATCCAGTTAATTTTGTGAATAATATTATTGATGAGTTACCAATTGAAAATTAATTTTTTTTTCCCCCAAGGTAGTGTGGCTTTATAAGCCAAGAATTAATTTCTTAATTCTTCTAAAAGTTGATAGTCTTAAGACAGCATTGAATACATTGTTAGTTGTTTTGTTGGATCAAAAGATTAGGCATCTTTTTTTAGTAAATTCAATCAAAACATTTTTTATATTACCATGTAAAATTGTAAAGTTGCAACTCCCTGTGTTTAACAAATTATGTTTGTGACTCGCAAATGGTATGTCGAGCATGTCACAGGATTGCCGTAAGGTGTGAGACTAGCTGGAGGTTCATGATGTTGATTTTTAGGGTGTCCCTAACATAATTAATCCACCTACGACTTGGTCTTCCTCTGGCCCTGAAACCGGAGTGCCTGCTACAGAAAGCCTGCAATGCAGGTTGGTTGACAGAAATTCTGTTACATCGCAGATTGAAATATTTATCTCTCTGTTACTTTCTTACAATACATTTTTAACAAAATCTGTTATTTTTCCTCTTTAATACTTTAATATTTTAGCAAGTAATTTTTATTTTTCAGCTGATTTAGTGGAACTTATCACTTCAACATTAGAATAGTAAAAACTTATTTTAACTGCATTTGTATTGCTGTGATCAAAGAAATGTCCATTTGATTTCATTCTGTATTGAGGTCAGGCCTGTTGGCATAAGGAGTTTTAACTTTTAGCTCTGATTTCTTGTTGAGTCAGTGTCAAAAACATATTTTTTGAAACTATTATAGGGCCACCCTGTATAGTCATCCAAGAGTTAATGTTGAAGATTTGTGAAGGAGTCTTGACCCTGTTGTTACTTACTACAAGTTCAAGTTGATGGCCGGTGTAAATGTTGAGTTACCTACTGCAGTCCCAGTTGAAAACCATATTAAATATTGAGCATCCATAATTGAGGGAATGTTGTGTCCCAGTGTTAGAGATTATATGATGACTTTGTTGAGGATTAGATCTGCTGATGTTTTATTTATGTTACCATTTTTTTTACTGTTGTTTTAAAGCTATTTATTCATAGTTATGTCCATCCTCACCATATAATAATATAATATATATACATTTACCGTATCTGAGTTTGTGGTCATTAATTTTGTAGCAACATCATTGTTTTGTCTTTGGAGGTTGTTTTATTTTTAAAAATACATTTTCACTTTTGTGATGCTAGGACACAACCAGGTCAATCTACTTAGGCACTTAGGCAAACCATGCATCTGTTTGGGACACACTTGGGTATGCCATACCATAAACCACCATCTGTTTGGGACACACTTGGGTATGCCATACCATAAACCACCATCTGTTTGGGACACACTTGGGTATGCCATACCATAAACCACCATCTGTTTGGGACACACTTGGGTATGCCATACCATAAACCACCATCTGTTTGGGACACACTTGGGTATGCCATACCGTAAACCACCATCTGTTTGGGACACACTTGGGTATGCCATACCGTAAACCACCATCCGTTTGGGACACACTTGGGTATGCCATACCGTAAACCACCATCTGTTTGGGACACACTTGGGTATGCCATACCGTAAACCACCATCTGTTTGGGACACACTTGGGTATGCCATACCGTAAACCACCATCTGTTTGGGACACACTTGGGTATGCCATACCATAAACCACCATCTGTTTGGGACACACTTGGGTATGCCATACCATAAACCACCATCTGTTTGGGACACACTTGGGTATGCCATACCATAAACCACCATCTGTTTGGGACACACTTGGGTATGCCATACCATAAATCAACATGGGGAGAATGATAATAGTTATTTGTTTTATTGATCTCTTCTTTCAAGTAAGATTTGAGATGTAATTCTTATTTAAATCAAGTTTTGGTGTGCCTCAGATAGGGCCGTTTCCCTGTATATTAGTTGGGCCTCCATCATGACTGGACTGGGTCTCTGTATATTAGTAGGGTCACCATCAACAAAGGACTGGTACTCTGTTTATTAGTTTGGTACCCATCAAGATAGGACTGGTCCCCTGTATATTAGTTGGTTCTCCATAAACACATGACTGGTTCCCTGTTTATTAGTTAGGTCTCCATTCTACCTTATTTTCCAGTTAATGCATAATGGCTGTGTTGCTCCGGGTTGAAATGGCTAGAAAGACTTTGAGATTGTATGCTTGTAATTAGTTTTTGCAGTGTTGCGTTTGTTTTAAATGTGGTAAATTATAGATATGTTTTTTGTTGACTTTGTACCGCGCTTCGAGCCTTTGGGGATGAAGCATCTTTTTGAAATGAACTTTATTATTATTATTTGTGTGTGGATGAAGTTGTTGTCATTGGTGTGGGGATGAAGTTGTTGTCATTGGTGTGGGGATGAAGTTGTTGTCATTGGTGTGGGGATGAAGTTGTCATTGGTGTGGGGATGAAGTTGTTGTCATTGGTGTGGGGATGAAGTTGTTGGTCATTGGTGTGGGGATGAAGTTGTTGTCATTGGTGTGGGGATGAAGTTGTTGTCATTGGTGTGGGGATGAAGTTGTTGTCATTGGTGTGGGGATGAAGTTGTTGTCATTGGTGTGGGGATGATAAACAATGCTGCTGGCTGCCGACCATGGTTTGCCTTGTAAAATTTCTGGGGTGGGGTGGGGTGGGTGAATATACATTTGTTTTGGGTGTTTGTCATCCTGTTCATTATTTCATGTATGTATTTTATTTTGATGTCATGATTATGTCTCTTTTGATAATAGTTTTATGTACAGTGCGGTGAGCCCAGCCCATGGCTGGGGTACTGCGCTATATAAGACCACTAATCATTATTATTATAATTATTGTTACGAATAGGTACAATTATATTACTAGCTATGAGTTCAGTAATACTAGTGGTTACAATTATATTATTAGCTATGAGTTCAGTAGTACATATGGTTACAAATATATTACTAGCTATGAGTTCAGTAGTACATATGGTTACAAATATATTACTAGCTATGAGTTCAGTAGTACATATGGTTACAAATATATTACTAGCTATGAGTTCAGTAGTACATATGGTTACAAATATATTACTAGCTATGAGTTCAGTAGTACATATGGTTACAAATATATTACTAGCTATGAGTTCAGTAGTACATATGGTTACAAATATATTACTAGCTATGAGTTCAGTAGTACATATGGTTACAAATATATTACTAGCTATGAGTTCAGTAGTACATATGGTTACAAATATATTACTAGCTAATCACCCATCAAAATTGAAGGGTGGAGAAGAAGAAAAAAAACAACATATATTTATAAATATATACAACTATAAAACATTTAAATTGAAATCAGTCCAATCTTTTTTTAAAATCAGTTTTCTTTATTTTGCAAAATAATAGTCATCTCCTCTTTAACAGAATACGTACAGGTAAATACAG